GCAAAGAAGTTGCGCCCCCACGACGAAGAATTTGGGTGGAAGGCGATGAGAAATTCTTCGATTTCTCGAGTCGCCTTGCGGTTTGGTTGGGTCGGGTCGGGTCTGCCCGACCACGGTCGACCGGGTCGACCCAACCCGACCCGACCCGGGTGGGTCGCAACACGTCGTTATTTTCAATATTGTGCACAAAAACCAGAACTCTCCCGAAACCACCAAGCTCACCTTGCACAGGAAGAGTCCGATCGAGTTACCTGAAACCGACCAGCCGCCACTGAGGACGTGCTGCTAGTATTTGATCGATCGCCTCTATAACCGATCCCTTCCGTGGTCAAACACTGTGGCTTCTGGTTAACGTACTACAGTAAAAACACTGTGTGTGACAAGGAAAGCTGGCGAGAGCGCGCTCGATCGCCTCAACAGCCACGACCAATCAGGGGATTGACGATCCCGCACTGTGCACAAACGTGTTGTGTAAACACCATAACCAAATCGCTTCTCATAAGCGGAAATCTTTTCGTGTTCGCTCTGAAATTTCGGCGCAGAGTGAACTTCAGAATTTGCGAAAGGTGTAACCAAGGTTGCTGTGTTGTGGTTGCGTAGCCCTGCTTTGTCGCATACCAAGGGTTATTCTGTGCTTTGGCGATCATGGTACGCACGCTCAAAATTTTACTGGCGGATTGATCACATCCAGGCCACACATCGAGCCGAGGATCAGCCGTTGCGGATCGGTTGACGTCTCGATCTTTCGATTTCATCACTTGCAACACGCGCTAAACCTCCCGCTCATGCCGCAACGCAAGTATCGGCCAGCTTCGAGATGCCTTATTATTTCCCCCATATTTTTCTAATACACCTTGCCCCGCCAATTTCAACCCCTGAAAAGTTTTTACAGAGACACCGTGGACCAGATTCGGCTGTACATTTCAGTCACCCAGAATAAAAAGAGTATGAAATATGCTCTCCGCACCGGTGGAATGAAACCGATAACTCTCAGTGGATCAGGCGCACCACCCACTCACGCGGGCCACTTTTTCCAGTCGCGACCTTCGTTGCGTCCACGAACTCGAAAGGGACTCCGAAACTATAACTACTTTAAAATAGATATCTAGCTATACAACCCTTGGTTCCAGAAAGAATAAGGGCACCTACCCACGAGCGTCCAACTTCAGGGGTTGAAATTGGCGGGTGCAAGGTGTATGTTTTACAAGTCATGACAGGAGTCACCGCCACTGATCAGTGCCATAGTGCAACAGACAAGGCCATTGAGTGGAAGGGAATGCCAACAGCAGCTGGCTGGAAGCACCGCGAGGCGCGGTGTTGTACTACTTGTGATACTACACCCTGTTTCTCGCCATTGTGAATTCGGTTATAATGAAGTCAAGATGGAAAAATCTCGGTTGACAGTGGTAAAATTACGTTTCAGTATGGTTCAATCAAGCAAATCAAAGATAACAAGGTTTGCCACCTGTTCGGCACAGTTCAGAGTAGCGAGAAACAGGGTGTACAATCATGAGCCAAGATTATGTTGCAATATGACACGCGCCACAGTGGATCCACAGTGAAACTTGTCACTAGCAATGTCAAGAAATAAGGACGTGGGCCCAATCGACTTTGATCGGATCGGATCGGGTTGGATTGGATCGAATTGGTTTCGATCGCTTTTCTCGCGCCGCCCGATCAATGCAGAATTTCCTCAAAGTTTTTAGCGCCGCGAGACTCCATTGCCTGGTAATTTCTTTCCAACTTTGGCGAGATCGACGAACACGATGTATCATAGTAATCTCGCAAAGATCGCACTACACACAGTGTCAGCTTAACAACCTTCTCGCCAGCTTGTAGGTAGCGAGAGATTTTCGTGACCTTTAATTACGTTTGTAACATTTCGCATACATCGCTCAGGTCCCCGATCACATGCAATCAAGTGATCGGGACTGATTGTGTCTGATCGACATTGATCGGGCTGTTTGAGGCGGTTGATCGAGTTGGAGCGATCAGCTGATCGCGATCAGCTGATTGCCCCCGATTGCCTGAAATTGGCTTCCCACCTTCATCGAATTTATTGATCGCCTCTGATCGCGCCGATCAAAGTCGATTGGGCCCACGTCCTAATCTTACAGTCCATCATTGCCCTCCCCAGGTCCCCGACCAGGGTTGTTGTTTCGTTTTGGGGCCCCCGCACAAATCAGGGGGCCCGGCATGTACAACCCTGTATTTAGCAGGGCTGGTGCGAGTCTTGGCCCTTTAGGCTTCAGGCCTGGAATTTATTCCTCCCTTGACTCAGGTTTGGTACGACACTCTAAGATAAACTACAGCAATCAAACATGAAAAAAAAAATAGTTAGCGTCATTTCACTACGCACGCTTAGCAAACTCCCTAGCTTTGGCAGCACGAGGGTGGGGGAATCATCTTGCAACTCTGAATGTGTTTTGCTGCTGCTATGCCGATTCATACTAAGGGAATGGAAGGGAGTAAAGCTGTGATTGGCGCAAGTACTGGGTTATAGTTTGAGTTAAAATTGTGGCCCAACCACACAACTCCAAATTAGCCAGGTTGGGGGAGAGGGGAAGGGGTTGGGGGGGGGGGCTCAAAAGAATTTGTTTGAGGGCTCGCCTAAAATCACCCTTAAGACACCAGGCCGAAGCCCAAAATCAGCCCTGTAAGGAATCAGGGCCAGAATTTTCCCAACCCGTCAATTTCAGTTTCCAAGGGCGACCCAGCCCTGGAATTCAAGGTCCAGCAGGGCGAACGCCTGTCCCCGACTCCTGCCCTGAGTTCCCCCAACCTCACTGTCGCTCTCACGTGGATGAAGTGGCTCCCAGCGGAGCAAAGCCACGAACAAATCGCGCCCAACCTCACAGTCGCTCTCCTCTCGTACGATTCTGCCGGTAGGGTTTCGTTTCCGCTGGAGGCTGACAGCTCTGAAGACCACGTGGTATTTTTGACAGTACCGTGCGGTGGTGCTGCAGCCACGGGGATCTTGAGGTGCATCTCAACAGCTTATCAAGAATGAATGGAGGGCGCGCTATTGCTAGTAATCGGGCATACAAGTCTCATGCCGTAGCAGCTGTGCGAGTTATTCTTTCGCTTCGTTTTCCAAAGTCTGAGTCATCACGACTTAGTAGAGGGCCTTAACCGCAAGCCGGCGCCTCAACATCAACTTCTGTGCGAGTGCAACCCTTCCCGTAAGTACCTTCACCAAACCCCTCGGCTGTGCGGAGGGCACTTCAGGGCAACCCTCACTCCGGGAGGACTATCCTATGAGTTGTCATTTCACCGTCAGTAACGAGTGGCACTACCACTGTCTGCGAGTTGTCTGCGAGCACTTACGCCCCTGTTGGAGATGGCTTTGAAGTTGGCCACACCGAGTTGGAGCTTGGCGAATCCCCAGCAAGCAACTGCCACAGGCCCTCAGCAAGCTACTGGCCCTCAGCAAGGTACTGGCCCTCAGCAGGAGTGGCGCAGCTGTGAGGCGCAGCAGCCGTGGTAGGAGCTTGGGCTGTGGGGGTTGGAGGCAGTAGTGGCGAAGGTGGTGGCCTCCGATGGGCACAGCTGGCTCAAGTACGGCCAGAAGAAATTGAACCAATCCAGTGCCACCAGGTCAGCCTCGCGTGACTCCTGAATCTGCTGCGCGTCCCGTTAGGTCTGGTTGAGCATTGGGCTATCCCTTATCCATTTTTCTTTACTCGAACTGAGAAGCCTGTTGGCTTCGTCTGTCCTTGTTCTCTCCTCGCCCTGACAGGTGCTACTACAAGTGTAGTCTTGCGAAGGCCACCCCTCGCTGCCCTGCCAAGAAGACTGTCGACATCAACGGCCCCAACTCAATCCACGTCGCCTATAAATGCCGACTCCACAACCACCCAGGAGCTCCCAGCTGGCGTTCGCCCCACTGCCCTTACGTCCCCGTTACTAGTAACCGCCCTGCTGGCCACCATATCAACGTTCCAGCTTCACATGGCACGGTTGGCCCCGCAGCACCTGATGCCATTCGACTTGCTGCTTCTTGTGGCGACCTGGAGGCCCTCGTACAAGCCTTGCAGCATGGGAGCGTGGGAGCGACTGTTGATGGCAGTGCTTTCAGTGTTGGTTGTGCTGCTGTAGCTTCTGATGATGGTTCTTGTGGTGCTGCTGTTCGTGCTGGTGCTGGTGTTGGTGCTGCTGCTGCTGATGGTGGTGGTGGTGGTGGTGGTGGTGCTGCTGCTGCTGCTGCTGGTGCTGGTGTTGGTGCTGCTGCTGCTCATGGTGGTGACGGTGGTGGTGGTGGTGGTAGTGCTGCTGCTGCTGCTGCTGCTGCTGCTGCTGCTGCTGCTGCTGCTGGTGTTGCTGGTTCTCCTGTCGGTGCTTCTGCTGCTGTTTCTGCTTATGGTGGTGCTGCTGATGCAGATGGGGCTGCAGCAGCCCTCGTGCACTCTCCTGGTCAGGAGGAGCAGAGACACATCCATGAATGGCTGCGTACGCAGAGCCTCCCATCCGTGTTCCCCCTGCCTACCCACCTCCAACCATCTGCTCTGCAGCTAGCTGGGCGTGTCCTCCCTAATGGCTGCTCCACTGAATTCAACAAAAACACTGCTGCTCACACATGGCGGCCTACAGTGCCTGAGGGTCGGCTGGATGAGGTTCACCCTCTGCTGGGTGCAAGAGCGCCTGCAGCCCATGAGCTCCACGAGCTTCTACCTTCGGGTGGTCTCAACCATGTGGGACCTCTATCAACTGATTATGAGGACATGGCAATATATGAGGAGGAGCAGGCAGGAAGTTGTGTGAGAAGCATCGCAGAGGATTCCTTCCTTGTTTCAGCTTGTGAAGGGCAGGCAAGGCCGGCACAACTTTTCTTGGAATCACCTAAAAGAGACGACCATCTTGCATGCGGAGTGAGGGACAACGGAGAACGTTTCCGTCTCGTTCAGCCATGTGAGAGGAAAGAGGAGTTGAAGCACCAATCCGTTGAGGTGCCTCAAAGGGAGGACGGGAATGAGGGGCTGGTGGATGGACGCTCAGCAGCTATGCTGGCAAATCTGATGAGGCCCGTGGTGGGTGCTGCAGAGGCAGACGGCTGTGCTCCTGTGGCTGATGGCCGTGCTGCATCCCATGATCCTGGGAATTTGACCCAGTGGGCTACACTGATGAGGCCTGTTGTGGGCGCTGCTGAGGGTGACGGCTGTGCTGCTGTACCTTATGGCTGTGCTCCTGTGGCTGATGGCTGTGCTGCATCCCACGCGTCTGGGAGCTTAAAGCAGAGGGCTATACCGATGAGGACTGTTGTGGGTGCTGCTGGGGATGATGGCGCTCCTGTGGCTGATGGTTTTGCTCCTGTGGCCGATGGCTTTGCTGCTGTGGCCGGCGGCCCTGCAGCTGTAGATGATGGCTTTGCTGCAGCCCATGAGCCTGGGAATCTGGACCAGTGGGATGCGCTGCAGATGGTTTTTGGGTTGACTCACTCCAAATCTTGGACAGACAGCTGTACTGCATCTGGTGCTCCTGGAATTCCAACCCAGCGGGATGGGCCGTCACTGTGGCAACGACAGCAGGAGCAGCAGCAGCAGCAGGAGGAGGAGGAGGAGGAGGAGGAGGAGGAGGAGGAGGAGGAGGAGGAGGAGGAGGAGGAGGAGGAGGAGGAGGAGGAGGAGGAGGAGGAGGAGCAGCAGCAGCAGCAGCAGCAGCAGCAGCAGCAGCAGCAGCAGCAGCAGCAGCAGCAGCAGCAGCAGCAGCAGCAGCAGCAGCAGCAGCAGCAGCAGCAGCAGCAGCAGCAGCAGCAGCAGCAGCAGCAGCAGCAACATCAGCAACAACAGCAGCTGCTTCAGCAGGAACAACCGCCATCGACACACCAGCAACTGCAACCCGATCAGCAGCAACATCAAGGACAGCAGCATCCATCGTGGAACTTGACAGCTTTGCTGCTGTCGTTTGCTGATTCTATAACAGAGCGCCCTGCCAAAGACCTTCTAGAGACCTTATCTGCTGCTATGCCGGCTGCTCTCTCCAGCCCAAGAGTCTCTTCCCCACAATTTTTCACAGGCAGCCCCTTTAAAATGTCGAGTCAAGCAGGCATTGCCTTGCGCCACGCAGCTGAAACGGGGGCTCCTCATACGCTTGAAACTGGTCCTTCTCGAAGGCTTCAGAAGAGCCCTGCCTCAGCCCTGGGTATACACCTGTCTGCCTCCCCTCCCTTTGCCCGTGCCAGTGCAAGTAACCGTGCCTCATGGATTCAAAAGGGAGAGAAACCTGAGGAGCTTTATGCCATGGGTGCAGCTTGGGGTGAGCCTACTCCCTCCGCCTGCAACGGCGTCTGTGCCCGTGCATCCACCTCTGCCCATGACTGCACATGTGCGCATAGAGAGGGTGAAGCGTCTGCAGAGCTGCATGCCTTGAGAAGTCGTGTGCTGCCCACCATCGTGGAGCCACCCACCCTCCTGCCGCCCACCCTCCTGCTGCCCACCATCATTGAGCCGCCCACCATCATTGAGCCGCCCACCATCATTGAGCCGCCCACCATCAGTGAGCCGCCCACCATCATTGAGCCGCCCACCATCATTGAGCTGCCCACCACCTTTGTGCGATCAGCCGCACAGCCCTGCGAGGTGGAAGATCCAACAACGCCCACAACACCCATGCCCACACCCAGGGCCAGCAGCACCAATTCTGACAGGCATTCAGCCCCTTCTGCACGCACTGCAACAAGGCTTGCAGCACCATTTTCAAGCCCCTGCAGCACCAATTCCAAGCCCTGCAGCACCTGTTACAACCCCTGCAGCACCAGTCACAACCCCTGCAGCACCAGTTACAAGCCCTGGAGCACCAGTTTCAAGCCCTGTAGCACAAGTCACACAGAGATTGATGTAAAACGCCACAGAAAGCACTTTCTTCCTTTACTTGCTCACCCACCTGGCAACACAATCAAGCGCCAACACAGACTGGGTGAGGACCGCATTCCCAGTGCATCAGTAGCTCTATCCTCTGCTGTCCAAACGCCACTCCTTGCCAATAGCCTACTTAGTCCAGCAGCCACAGCTGATAAGGGTATATACATGCAAGATGCAGTGGCTATAACCCATGGACATGTGAACATGCAGAGTGCGGCAGCCATGGCCATCATAAGCAGGGCAGGTTCGATGCAAGAAGCTTTAGCAAGACAGCATTTCCAAGGCTCCCTACCAGGGGAGGACCCCAAGCTATGTTTGCCAGTTGAATCGACACACGCGGCCTCGCTGGGCTTTCAACGTGGAGGCTTGGTGCAGCAGACATCCCCGAGCCATCATATTTTAGCCCAGGTACCCATAGGCCCAGTGCATAGTGTGGGCTCAGCCCCAGTTAAAGTGTTCCAAGTGCACGCCGAGCAGGGGGCTGTTGCATCTTTGACTCCAACAGAAGTGTTTGCATTTCTGGGAGGGACCAGCACTATTCGTGTTTCAGACTTTGCACCGGCTAGCATGCGGCAAGAACTTCAGTCGTGGTTCGATGGTGCCACTTAGAAAGGCAGTATATGTCAGATTTGAGTCGAGAAGAGTAGAATCAGTATGAGTTCGTTGCGTGTTCGGCAGTGTGTGTATACTCCAGGTAGTTGGTTGTGTAAGGTTTGCATTGTATATGTACTTCTGGAATATTTCTCATACATCTCAAAACATGTCTATATGATAGTTGGCTTTTTTGCAATGCTAAATCTGGCATAAAAGAGCTTGCCCTTTCAGGCAGAAAGTGTGTCATTCTATCTTTGGGCATCATAATTGCACTGCTATAAGTACCCGTTGTGTGGACCCTTCCCATCCATAAAAACTATGATATTGGGGTCCAAAAGCAGATGGGTTGTATTTTTCTCTGGTCATTTATGCCAAGTTTGGTCCAGTGTGAGTTCAGTATCGCCAAAATATATATATATATATGCTAATAAAGCAGACTAAAAAGGCAGTGTGAATTAATTTCCCACTCAAGTTTACCAAATCATGCCCGTCCCTCGTTCCTTCCCTATGCACATCCCCTCTCCAATCTCATGCCCAATTCTAATCCCATCCCCATACCCGTACCTTCTTCCATCCCTTTTCCCATCATCATGCCCATCAACAGTGCCATCCTGATGCTCATCCATAGTCCCGTGCTCATGCTATCCATAGTTGCATCCCCATGCCCATTCCTAGTCCCATATACAAGTGCTAATCTACAAATTAGAAAACAACATTGTGGTCAGTAATATGCTGTGCTTTGTTAGGCTTGTTGACTAGTACGACTACACCAAGGAGCGCGGCATGAGCCTGCTGTGCTCTTTGTTGGACCTTACCTTGCTGTTGCCTTCACTTACCCTCCCACCGCCCTCCTCCCACCCTACTTACCTCCCACCCTCCTTACCTCCCGCCCTCCTTACCTCCCACCCTCCTTACCTCCCACCCTCCTTACTTCCCACCCTCCGTACCTCCCGCCCTCCTTTCTTCCCTCCATTGTTGTCACTCGCCCTCATGACATGCATCTCACGCCAGAAGTGTTATCATTGTGTGACCGCTGTGCAATAATAACACCTTAGCACTGCTTCTTGTTCCTTCTCGCCTGGACTCTCTCCTTCCTTCCTGCCTGCCCCCCCTCTTCAACACATTAGCACTGCTTCTCGTTCCTTCTCGCCTGGAGACTCTCCTTCCTTCCTACGTGGCCCCCCTCTTCTTCCTATCGATCCTCCTGATCTCATTCCTTCCTTCCAACCTTACCAATGAATGTAGTGGGCTTGAAATCAAAGCACAATTAGTGTACGTCCTTCTATGTTTGACAAAACGCTTCCAAATTTCAATGCCCGTCTCACAAAATTCAGAAGTTTGTACGATTTTTAATCTTGGAGTGAAGCCCCACAAACATCCAACAATGTTAGTTAATAAGAAATTGTAGAAATTGTGTTCAGTGTATTGCCTTGCTGGTATCGCGTGAGAGCTTCCGCGCTCACCATTGCAACCCAAAGAAAATTGGAATGCGAGTGTGCCCACTATTGGTGGGGTGAGCGCAGTGCTTTGTCACACACTAGATCGTTCGGCCCTCCCATATTCTCCGAAACAATTGTCGCCTAATTGCGTGGCGAAGACAATAGCTCATGAATTCACATTTGGTCATACACATTTTTTAAACGCCTATCTTCAGGCTTTTGCCAGCACTATTTCATGTTCATGATTCATGAAATTTTACCGTGCTGACCTCGAGCCTTATTTTATGGATTCCATATTGTCTCTTTGGCTTATGTAATGAATAAAATCCCGTTACCATAGACAACCCTTAGCAAGGACATCCCGAGCGCTTCACGTCAGTTTGGTTTCAGCCAACACTTTCGGCCCGAACCTCTCCAAAGTCGCCCTGCACCAATCATGAGACTTCCAACCCTCGCACGTCCGAGGTCTATTCGCCCTATAATTGCACATCACTTTAATTGTATCGCAACTTCCGTAATCTTGTAGTATACTTCCGCGCATTCTGATAATACAACTCTGAGGGAGGAGGGATATGGAGGATGTTGTGGGGTTCCAGAAGTTGCACACTAGCCGTCTAGGAGAACGAGTAGGCGCTCCGTGGCATCGCCGGATCCTTGCCCTCGACGGTTGAAATTGATTATTATTATTTTTTTTTTTGGGGGGGGCGAATATGTTTCTTTCAGGGTATTACAAGTAGCACAATTACGCAAGGAAATTGAGTGGGAACAGGAAGAGAAGAGGAAAGGAGGAATAACGTGAGGAGAAAAAAGGAAAGAAGAAGAAAGAAGGAAGGGAATAGGGAGAAAATGGTAGGAGGAAGAAAAACCGGGAAAAAGGAAAGAAAAAAAAAAAACACAAGACACAACATCAAGAAAACCCCAATAGCACACACAATTGAAACCCCATCAAACCATCCCATCAAAACACCCCAACTGCACTCCCATCGAACCAAAACCCCCCCTAAACCCACCCTCTAAACCCGCATGTCTACCAAGTAGGGTGCATCCGCCCACGGAGCATCCCATCCCATCTCCTCCTCAACATCCTCCCGCTCCACCCAAACAGCCTCTGGACCTCTCATCATCGACGCCGCGCGTAACAAGATCACACGCGCCTGAGCCCGCTGCAAAGCCACACCCACGGCCGCTTTGAGTGAACCGAGCAAATAAGCCGAGAAACCCTTTCCCGTAGCTCGCGCCGCCCCTTTCGTCTTTGCTATCTCGATCTGCGCGTCACCCTGCTTCTTAAGCCACCGTCCAAAACTCCCCCCCAAGCATCCCCATGTCTCAGCAATGAGAGGTGTGAACTGCACTCCCCTATGCCGCTGTAGAAGCGATTTGTAGTCCGCCGCCTTCCGCTTTTCTCTCTCTCTCGCGGCAAAACCCACCTTGCGCCCAATCTGTCCATGGTGCTGCGCGGATAGCGAGATAGGGTCTACCACACTAACCTCCAGCGCGTGCTCCTCCCCCTCCCTCAGTTTCCGAACCGCCACATCAACCCTCTTCCCTGGGAGCAACGTGTCGTCTTCCATGGTCACAATCCCACCCGCACCCTTAGCTATCTTCGCCACCACAAACTTAACCGCATCGTGAACACGAGAAGGTGCATACTGATACTTGCAGCGAAGGGCATGATGCGGGTCAGAGGGATCAGCAAACTCAAACCCACACGCGCACTTGCCGGCCACTATCAGCTGCTGTATAGGGAGGCCTAAGCGCATGGACGCGCAGATGCTCCACTCGGCTGCGGTGAACATAGCCTCCTCGTGCGAAGGAACGGCAGAAACCCACGCCCCAGCCCCCGGGCCCTGAAGGGATGTCAAACGGGCCAAGGTGGCATCGTTGTGGGCCATGCCTCGAAGAGATTGAAGGCTCTCAACCGCTAGGCGACGGTGTTGTGTGGAGAAGAGCAGCACAGGGGGGTCAGCAGTGCACAAGGCAAGGGGTGGCATCTCCTGCCGGACCGACTGTGGAAGCAGATCCACTGCTCTCGCAAACCAGGGGTCCAACAAGGTCGTAGCCTCGGGCGTGCGGAAAAACTCCTCAAACATCCGCTCCTCACCTGCCACCCCCAACCGAGCCACATCGCTCACTGCTTGGCACCAGCCACATGCATACGACAGAGGACTAAGGTCAGCCGCAGATCGAATGCCAAACCCTCCGAGTCTGGCAGGAAGGTGCAGCTGTAAACGAGCCATCTGAGACTTCCCCGAATCGTGATCCCAGGTACTATCTGGAAACAGCTCCTCGAAACAATCTTCCAGCTTCGTGTCCCAGTCCCGAAAAGCCTCCACAACCTCAGGTCGTGGAGGCATCGTCCGTGTGAGGTAAATCGGGCGCGCTGACACTGCGATCGCCAGCAAATGGGACGCAATCTGTGGGTGGTCAAGCAGAGGAAGCCAAGGGACAGGTGCATGCAGCTCCGTCAGCCGGCGACGCAGGCTAGCCACCTCCCAGTCCTCCTCCCCAATGGGGACCCCTACCACAGTGAGCCCCGTCCATGTCTGCTGCATGCCGGGCGGGACGGTCTCATTTCTCTCCTCCCCATCCTGGTTCCTCCCTCGCTCCCATAGCTTACACTTATGCGGCTGCACCTCCAAACCCAGCCCGTCCAATCGTTCCCGCAAGGCCTCATAGGCTGCTAAAACCCGCTCCCTAGGCCCCAGGATATACGTATCATCAGCATAGCTGAGGAAGAGTAAGTCGGCGTACTCCATTTTGGTTGGTTCCATAACCAGCTGCTGTGTGAACGCGAACAGAAACGGACCCAATGGGTCCCCTTGCCTCGAGCCCCGCTCGGAGGCCAAAGCTTCGACAAAAGGGCCCGCACGGAGATAGAGGTCGCTAGGAGTGCCGTAGAAGACACGCAGAAATGGAATCAATCCCTTGAAAGGCGACTGTCGAAGAC